CTATTCCAACTGGATACACATAAACAGCATGTAATCTTCAAGCTCAGCTTTAGACTCTTTGAAGTGACCTGACCGTACTACTGATTTATTTCAAACTAACCTTTCTCTTTGAACCCTAGGTCAAGGTTAATTCTATAATAAAACATACCTTCTACAGCTGGCTTTTCCAGTGGTGCTAGCAAGTAACGAACCCCTCGGTCATAAGCATTTGTTTCACTGAGTGTAGTATTGTATTTCTATTTTCCCTTCCCTGTATTAATTTCCTTCACAGGCCCTAGTTAAGGGGAAAAAAAATCTCTTTTCCGGTCCATGAGATCAATTTTAAATACACTGGAATTAAATGAAGACATTTAAGCCACATTTCTTCACTGAAACGTGGCAGCCAACACCAGAAACTATTTTTATTACAGTCTATGTTAAATAATCAGATCTTCAATTTCATAAGAAGCCGTACAGCGACGTTATTCAAACTCCTCCACTGGCAATGACCCTGTCAGAGCCTTTTACAAAAGCATCTTTGCTCTGAATCATAGCAAACCACCGAGGATAGCTTTTCTAACTAGGAAAATAAAATTGGAAAAGGGAAATACATTTGAGTGGCACTTCTCAAAAAAACCAAGATTGCTGCTTGCAAGTGCCCCCAGGCAGTCTTGCCTGCCCGTAGGTATCGCAGGGTAGAAGCACGCCAAGCAGGGGTGCAAAAGAACACGAGCTACGTCGGCGGTGTGGGATGCAGTCGTTAAGAGATGCTGAGGTGCACGCCATATTGTTCAAAGGCTTGGGGGGTTTTAAGAGGACTGGAAAGCAGCTTTTGAATCTCAGCCTCCAGCCCACGGCACATACTCACAGCACTTAATTAAAAAGCAGCAATGGCACAAGCTAAACCAGCAGCTGTTACGTATTTCTTCTGACTCCAAAGCCTTGCCAACACGGTGCCCGTTAGAGCTGTCGGGAGAGGGGTGAGGCGAGACCTTTGGGGTTTGTGGCTTCTGTGAGGCACAGGCTGGAAGACCTCACCCACGGTAGCTAACACCGGGGGAAGGAGTGCTTCCCCTCCAAATGAATGACGGCTTCATCCTGGCTTCTCCTCACACATGTTGCAGGCCCGAGTCTACAACGGGTTGATGTCCAGCATCGCCAGCACACAAAAGTGCACTTCTCTTAAACCCGGCACCAAAAGCTTTCAGAACTTCATCTCTGGCTGGGTGGTCGCTTTGTAAACGAGCGTTTTAGTCTGGTGTTAGATGAGTTTGACCAGACAGCGCTCTTGGTCAGCATCGATACCGCAAACTTGTTATCTCATCAATATCCATCATTGCCTAACGCAGCTGAGCTTGCCGTAATGGAAGCGCCGTCCATTTGAAATCCCCAAGGCAGGCATCAGTTTTGGATCAATGCTCTCAGAACCTCCATTAACCATTATGATGCCGGGGATGTTTTAGACCTATTTTGGGTTAATTTCTTCACGTCAGGACAAGTCAACCAAAGGCCTTTGCTTGTTTGAGAGAATCCCCTACAGTAATAGAGTGGTGGCACCGTGAGCCCAGCAGCTCCAGAACTGACATCATTCCAAGGAAACTCTTTTCCCTCCGGCTGTCCCATCCCATTGCACCATGCTGTCCTCTCCAGAACTGACATGATTCCAAGGAAACCCTTTTCCCTCCTGCTGTCCCATCCCATTGCACCATGCTGTCCTGCTCTTCTGGCTTCTCCTCGGGGACTATCGCCTGTCCCCACTCCTTAATCGCAAGCCAGGACCCCTGCTCCCCACAGCAGAGCCCCAGCTGGCAGTGCCGTTTGTGTCCTGCCCGCTGCACCACGCTCCGCCCTACAATCACAGAATGTTCGGGGTTGGAAGGGACCTCTGCGGGTCATCTAGTCCAACCCCCCTCCCGGGCATGCTGTGAGATAAAACCTACCGCATTCTGCCTGCCACGCAGAAGTCCCGAAAGGGAGACCAACACCCCTTTTGCTACATGAAGTGTCTCTGTCTATCCCAGGGATATCAGAAGTACTCTTCCTCTCCTCTCCACCACAATAAGGGGTATTTTAAACAAGGGCACTGGAATTGCACCAATTCAAGAGTTCAGAATAGCAATGTAAAATTCCACCCAAAGGCACTGAAAGAGATATCTCTACCATTTTATGATACTGTTCTTTAACAGGCGCCGAAAAGAAAATTATTACATCTAATGATTTATTAGTGAATGAAATCAGCCGATTAGGCCACCAACAACTGATTTTCAAAGGGCTAGCACAGAACAATTTAATATCAAGCGAGATAATAAACATGTCCCGAGCTGAATCACTGACTGATGTCGCTAACAGCCTGTCAGAGATATCAGATATTTACAGCAGAACAAGGCACCACATCAGATAAAAGTAAAATACATCCTTTCAAGGATATAGAAATATGGAAAGCAATCTCTCTGGCTCCATTTCAAGTCTGGGTAATATACATAACTCCTGAAGAAAAGGCTTTGTGTGGTGCTAGACCTTTTTTTAAAAGTCGCCCATCCCTGCTGCTGGCGTGCAGGAGACCCTCCGGACCAAGCGCAGCGTGACTGCTACCCTGTCTAACAAAGCCAACAGCATGAAATACAGCAGGGAATTGGAAATGTGCTGGTTGTGACACTCTGACAAACCTCTATTGGTGTGAGAAGTTCCACAAAGAGCAGACAAAATTCCGATTTCAAGGTTTCATCCCATAACCGCACAACAATAATCCATTACTAGTATGTCAAGAAGGAAAAAATAGCATGGACCTCACAGTCTGGATAGTGTTTTAAAGACAAAAACAGGTACAGATATCTAGTAAATTGGGTAACAAAAACCAAAGGTACCTTTAAGATCATTTTGTCTACATGTTGCCATTAAATATGTCAGACCCAAGCAAGTATTTTTGCTGTGCTAGAATTGATGGCTTCATATTGCAGGCTTGTTCATGCAGCTGTTACTGAAAGTTGCATTTTTGATAAAACAGTAAAAAGCAAGTAAACAAATCTACAGCTCCATTCGATTTATGTATGTCCTTGTGAAATCATTTTCAGTGTAATGGAACTGCGCACAGCATATGATCTATCTGGTTCTATCCAGAATCACAAAACCTCCTTATACTCCCAAGCCATTCAAGTGGGCGAGTAAGAATCACAGAACCACAGAATGTTGGGGTTGGGAGGGACCTCTGTGGGTCACCCAGCCCAACCCTCCTGCCGAAGCAGGGTCACCCAGAGCAGGCTGCACAGCACCGCATCCAGGCGGGTCTTGAATATCTCCAGAGAAGGAGACTCCACAACCTCCCTGGGCAG